GGAGGGAACACCAACCAGCAGCCACCGGTCCTGGCAGGGGCTAAGCATTCTCAGAAACGGCCCAGATTTAGTCCTTAACCACTTTGTGTTTTATATATGATTGCAGTTAATGCTGGGACTAGTGTTATGAGTGTGTTATTTTGCACACAGGGACAGGGAAGTTCAGAGAGAGAGGACATGGGAAAGAAGGAGGATGAGAGGAAGAAGGGAAGGGAGAGCAGGTCAGGAGACTTGGTGGTGGCTACGCCGCGTGATGGAAGCTGACAGACTCTGGTCTTCGTCACGTACTTACTGTGATCAAGGTACCCTGTTACGCTCTTTATGAGGATTATTTCTATTATCATTCCCAGCAACCCAACAAGGTCAGCAATATTACTGGACCCATATGCTACATCTGAGATGTTGATGAATTAGCCCAGAGCAGCCCAGGTATAGAAGGAACCCGGGATGTCCGGGTCCAGCCATCCAAGCCCCTGTGCTGGGGGCTTCTCTACAGAAGGGGCTGTAAGGGTTCCCCCCAGCCCGGCGGTCCTGTTCTAGTTGACTTGGGTGAGGACGTGAAAACTGTGAAAGCTTCACTGCGGTGAGGACGTGAAAACTGTGAAAGCTTCACTGCTCCCCGAGACTGGGAGGAACCCACCGGCACGCTGCCCCCGTGTCGCACACCACGACTCCTGCAAACCAGCCTCTAGCCGGCAGACCAGCTGAATTCCCTCTGTTGCCCCCATCCCCTCCTCCAAATAGCCGTTCCTTAAACATCAAAATGCTGAAGAATCTTTTCCTGACTTAAAGCCTCTTAACAACAATCAACATGTGGGAAGGCAGAGACAAATTCTATGTCTGATTTTAATAAAATATACTTTTCTCATCAAAATATTTTGATAGCCTGGGAAAAGAGATGTGTGCTCATTAAAGTTTAATGACTGTCTCTCCCTGCCGTTTTCCATATGAGGATCACACACCGTGACTCATGCGTGGTGGGTGCCGGGATGAGTCAACTGGGAGCACAATTTAACCCAGTTCCGATATCTGTGCAGTGCAAGACTGGGTCCTTAGGAGGTAAGGACGTGTTCACTGGCCTAACTGCTTTGGTTGACGGCGATGTGGATCCAGACAGGTGGGCCCCATCGTGGTCCAGGTTGGTGTCTATTTGCTCTAGAAAGGGAGCTGGGTAAGAAAAGCTGCAAACTAGCCCTCAGGCAGCTCCAGCCCCCAGGCTGAGCTGGGGTCTCCCGGGAGACAGTGCTTTGGGCAAAGGCTTTGAAGAGAAGGGAGAAAGCAAGAGGCTCTGACTCTTGGGAGGTCGGAGCTGACAATGATGCTACATTCATGCTCTAGAATCTCCACTGAAGCCCCCCTGATCAGTTAGGAAGCTCTCATCCAAACCTTTTAGCCTCACCTCAAAGTGGCCCCAGGCTGCCTTGCTTGGTCTCTCTTCACTGGTCACCTGCTTCCAGCCTGCACTCCCGCTGCGGCAGCTTCCAGCTGCTCCACACACCGCCCTTGCTTATGTTTTTTATCTTCCTAGCATCTGGAGTGGTCTCTCCATCCGTCTCTACCGGCTGAATGTTATCCACTCACCAAGGATCATCTGTGGTTCTACAGACTTAATCCTTGACACCCCACTCCACTCTTAACTCCTGCGATCTCTCCTCCCTGGAAACACCAGGCTGTTCGGTAAATGCAGTCACCATCTTCTATTCTGGTGAAAGTTCCAGTGTGAGAGCAACATAGCCGAGCCGTTACCTGTACAAGCTTCCAGATCAGTAAGATCTGGGTTAGAAGCTTCCTTCCCTCCCTTATCAGGCAGGTGATCACAGGCAAGTGGCTTGTGAACAGTAACAAGGACGATACCAACAACCAACACATACTCGGCGTTGACTGTGAGCTAGGCATTAGGTACCCATTATTTCATTTTACACTCACAACAGCTCTATGAAGTAAGACTTGCCATCGTCTCTGTTAAACAGCTGAGAGAACAGGAGCTAAGGGACAGTAAGTGATGCGTCCAGGGTTACACAGCTACAGGGTGTTGAGGAAACAGGTTTTGAGTTCAGATAGTTTGGTCCCAGAGCCTGTGTTTTGACCACCATGCTACAGGGCACTGCCCTCTCTGGGCCTCTCAGATTTCTCATCTGTAAAATGGGTACAATACTGCCCACCTCATAGGGTGGAAATGAGGATTAAATAAGATAGTACAGGAGAAGCATAATAGCATAGACCTCAGTACTCATAGCTACTGTCATTGTCAGCGCTGTGTGCTGGTCTCACACCCCCTCCTGCCTCGGAGTGGGGGGAATCCTGCCTTCCTGACCCTTGTCTCTCACACCTTCACATCCTGTGTCTTCATCATAGTGACCTTGGGAGGTTCTGTAAGCTGTGGGCCTGTCCCAGGCTCAGAGAGATGGACCAAGGGTTCTAGCGTTTTCTTAGGACCTGGAGACATGTGTCCCACGTGGTCTGGACCTCTGAGCCACGGTGCTTTTGTACTTTTCAATGCATTTAGCTTCCTCTCCAGCTCCTGTTTATGCAGTTTATTTGACTCCCGCCCTGAGGTCTCCTGGGTAACATTTGTTTCAATGTGTATTTCTTTTCTTTTTCCTTCCCAGCTCCTCCTTTTGTCTGTGTCCTCACCCCGCCCCCTCCCCGCCGACCCCCTGCCCGGCAGTCAGTCGCTTTCAGGATACCTGCCATCTGGATACCCGCGGTCCGTACCCCACGCCTCCAGTAGACAAACTAGCATGCTGGTCGCCAGTCCATTAGCCAGTTTCTGGAATTGGGGCCTCTCACAGCTCAGGGACACCTGGGTGGCTTTCAGGGTATGAGGGACTTTACCCAGACACACCTCTTACGCGGCTTGGATTTAGTCTGTCCTTGGAGCTAATACAGTTCATGAGGTTAGCGGTTAAGCGACCGCTTCTGTGAGGATGTGCCTGCCTGCTTTCCTGAGCACTGCTGGACGAATTTCCATCTCTCTCCTGCTGGAGTCCCAGTCAAATGACCCTACCCTCTAAATGCATTACCTCTAAGAACTGCCTTTTTGACACCCTTATGGAAATTGAAAAACAACACAAAACAAAGCAAAAAACCCACACAACTCTTTGTAAAGTACACGCTCCCCGCCCAGGTCACTTGAGCTGCAGGAGAAGGGATTTGGGTTCTGCCCGTGGGGAGTTAAACCGCTCTCTAAGTAAACTGGGAAGATGACTAGTCAATAATCCTTCAGTTAATGAGGTCTAAAAGATGAAAGGTATCAGTTTCCTGTATTCATCCAGTTTATTACCAGCGGTGCAATTAAATTCTATTTTATGCTGGGGTTGGATCACTTCCCAGGTGGGGAGAGCTCTCTCCTGAGCCCTTCATGGGGACGAGCTGTCAGTTCATAATTAGGTGAGTGTGTGGGCCTTGCCTCTGGTGGGAAAGGTTCCGAGGCTGAGCCCCTGAAGCAGCGGGAAAGGAGGCCTCCCCCAGCATCCGGGAGAGGCCTGCGGGGCACCGCACGTGTCCCAGGAGAGCCCGCTACGAGGGCAGCCGCCACGTGATAGGTGGGCAGGCCGCCCCGGTCACGGCGCCAGCACCTTATGCTCAGGGGAGAGGCAGCCCCTCTGCAGGAGCCCCAGTACCATTTCTCTGTTCTGCCTTCTTCCCTGTTCTGCCTGCAGATCTGCACCCCTCACTTTTATGCTGTCTCTTAAGGCCTCTTGTGTAGGTGATGGGCCTGTAGGAGGTGACCGGGGTGAAAGAAGCAAGGAGGCATGAAGATTCAATCCTTCCTAGAAAAGGAGGGCCTGGGGTTCTCTTCCTCCGGGGCCCTACACGTCTGCCTGGTGGGATTCATCGGCCCCTCAACGGCCGTCCACATGGCACTGGACCCAGGGAAGGCTGCCATTTTGAATGCTACACAACATTATTAGCTTTACAAGTGATTCTCAGCAAACGATTCAGAAGAGACACAAGGCCTACCTCTCCCTGCCCGCTCACGGCCAACAGCCCACCTCGAGAGGCTTTAAAATATGAGTGCCTCTAAAATTTTGATTTATCCACCACTTTAGAGGAATGCACCTTCAGGTCTGTGCTCATCACTCAATCACTTGGAAAGGTCTCCAAGCCCTGGATAAGGCTGACATGAGATGTCCCACCCCAAGAACCCTGATGGAGGCCTGGGTTTCTGCTCCCAGGGCAGGAGGTGTCTCGGGGATGTGGCTACGGACGCTGCCAGTGGTCCTGAGAAGTGGGAGCAAACAGGCTGCCATATTTGCCTTCCCCTTTCACCCATGCTCACCTCTCCACCGCCAAGTGCCTTTGAGACATTTGGACAGAGAGTTCTGGCGGCTAATGGAGAGACAACATTAAAACTACTAGCCAAACGGGCAAAAAGGGCCCTCCGGTGATAGAGGTCAGAGCAATGGTTGTCTCGGTGACGGAGGAGAGAGTGATTGACTGCAAAAGGCGTGAGGGAGATTTCTGGGGTGTTGAATGTTACAAATCCTGTGTGTCTGCATCTGGCTGGTGGTTGCCAGGTATATACACACATGACAAGTCATGATGATCACGCTGACATTTCGGTTTGTGCATTCTACTGTATACGGGGATAGCTTCATGGGAAACAGCACAGTCCAAAATGCAGGTGGGAGGGGATCCAGGCAGCTTCTGTTTGATGCCATGCCTGACCTACTTTATTCTGGAGACACTGAGCTCCAAGTATCTGTATCCTTTACACATCTCTATCTTCCTCCACTAGCGTGTTTATACCCCGAGGTTATATTTATATCTGCAGCCACATCTATATATTTAAATCTGGAGAGGAGAGAAAAGTGTTATATGTGCATGTCAGTGTATAGGGTGGTTTACTTCTTTCAAAGAACAGGAGGATCCTAGTTCCTTTTTTTTTTGGAGCAGGACACACTTTCACACACACACACACACACACACACACACACACATATTCATAAACACTAACAACCTTGCCTTTCTCCCTCATCTGAGATGCTAAAACTGACCTTGATGATGACCTTGGGGATTGTCAGCACAACGGACTTCTGCTTAGCCAGAACATCCTTGGTCTCATTGACACGGGCTGTGACAAAGAAGTGCAGGAACGCCTGCTCCAGCAGCTGGCCCATGTATTCGCGCGCTTGAATCAGCACCTCCTCTTTCTTGACTGGCAGCAGGAAAAAAAAAACATGGCGGTGTCAGGACCTGGGGTAGGAGCTGCTCCACTCTTCCCTGAGGGCCCCACATCTTTGCCACGCTAGCACGGTCTCCACCAGGAACACACACAGGTGAGGGCAAGTGGGACACAGAGTCCATCAGGGACAAGAAGCTCTCGGGCTTCTGGGGTAAAGAATGTGCTGGAAATTTCACATTCAGTAAAGTCTTCCTAGAGAAAACGTGTCAATTTTTCCCAACAGTGCTTTTGCTGTTGTAAAATGCAACGTGACAAAGAGGTTTAAAATCAAGGACCAAGGGGTTTTAGCTGTGGCTGCTTGGATTTAGGCAGAAACAGTCTCAAGGTGACAGATGTGGGGCAGTGATGTCCACGGCCACCGTGCCACGTGCCCTCCTGTGATAAGACACATCTCACGCAGGCCATGGGCCACGCTCGAGCAAAGCTGTCAACGACCTAAACCTTTTCCTTGATTCCTTTGCTCCACACTTTCTCTCCAGCTTGTACTGTACCAATCTGACTTGATTTTTCTATTTAAGAGAAAGAGGCAGTTGAAACCAGTTTTCACCGTAGGCATGCAACTCTCTCCCGCCCCTTCTGCTATTTGCACCTTAAAAGCCCTCTGTGATCTCAAGGCACCGACAAGGTGAGCATTTAGGTGTTGGGGATGAGCCAGTGAGGATGACAGGTGGAGTGTGGGGCGTGGTCCTGGGCCCCCTCTGCTCGCCATCCGGGCTGAAGACGGGAATCCTGTCTTGCGGCTCTGACCGCAGCCGTGAGGTTCTGTTTGGCTGCGCTGCCCAATTTCTCTCACTCTCATTTCCCAGAGCCCAGGATTCTTAAGGGCAAAGGGCAGTTCTCCTGCTGGCCGAGCCCGGGCCTGGGCAGAGCCAGGGGCCTCCATCTCCCTGCATGGGATCGAATGTCTCCACCATGGCTTCCCTGCTCAAGACTCCTCCCTCCGGTGGAAGTTATTGAAGGAAACAATTCCCAAGGTTGATAGTTTCAAGTGCAGAGGGTGGTTCGTTTTAGCCCTCCCTCGCGAGCGGCCATCCAGGACCCAGGACGGAAGACCCTGTGGGGTGAACTCCAGGGCACAGGGAGGTCTCCTGCCTTTTGGGCTCCCAGACGACAGTGCATCAGGCCGTGCCTACCATCTGCCTCAAGGTTTCTGCATGGATGAGTAGGTGCTGTGACCACCCAGTCTTGGCTTTACCTCACAACCACTTAGGGACATTTAAAAACCTGCCCTGTTGGATCCCACCCCAGGCCGATTCAATCAGAATCTTGTCGGCTGGGGCCCAGGCCTTGTTTTAAAATTCTGCAGATGACTCTTACGTGCAGCGGAGCTGAGAAGTACTCAGCTCAACAACTAGGGGGACCCGCCCTTCCCGCTGCCAGATCAGCCCTGTAAGAGCCTGCCACCGGTTCTCTAACCCCACCCACACTTAGGGAATCAGAATCTGTATTTGAATATGATGCTCAGATGGTACATATTCAAGTTTGAGGGGCTCCCAGAGACAGGAGATTGTAGCAGGAGATGGGGCAGTGTTAGGGTAGAATTGGGTGAACTTAGCATGGTCTCCGTTTTGAAACTGAAAGTCTTGCACCCCAGAATGCACCCAATTCCTGGCAAAATGGAAATTGATGGCAAAATGGAAAGGATGGTCATCCTAGACCAGTGGTTGTCAACGGGGTGCAATTTTGCCCCCCAGGGGTGTTTAGTAATGTCTGGAGATGCTTTTGGTTATCACAACTGGAGGTTGTTACTGGCATCTATCGGGTAGAGGCCAAGGATGCAGCTAAACATCCCACAGCACACGGGACAGGCCCCGTAACAACCGTCCAGTCTGAAAGTTCGTGGTGCCCAGGCTGAGAGACGGCCACGGGCTATGCAGGGGTATTAGAACGTACTGGTCCGCCCTAGACAAGCAGTCAGCAACTCGGCCTACTGCCTAGGGCAGTCCCATTCCACTTAGAGCTGGCCTTTGGAATCGAAGACCTTGACCCTCGAATTCTGCCTTTTTGGGTGACCTACTCATGTCGCCTTCTTTGGGACTGAGCCTGGACCTTGTTTTCTCCATGGCTCCCTGAGCAGTGAATTGTCCAGAAGATTAAGGCTCTGTCCCTCAATTGGAGACAACCTCAGATGAGCACATGGGGGCTGTTTTCACTTCGCCAGATGGGGCCAGATGGAGCGGCAAAGCGACAGGCCTTGAAGAACACGCATTTTGCCTCTAGCTGCCTCCAGTAACAATAATGATAAAAAAAAAGGACATCCTCTGGCTATTTCTAGAGGGCCGCGTTTGACCACTGGGCTGTTGAGGTTGGCGAGATGTGCTTGACATCGTTACAGAGGCTCTCGTTGCCTTGATATCAGCCTCGGGACTCTTCATTCTCTGAGGTAGAACATCCTCTAAATCTTGGCACTAAAGAAACTGGGCTGTGTTTCTGAGCCCAAGGGAACAGGGCTCCTGAAATAGTACGTTATGTAAATGCTGTGTTTTGCCACCGCACAAGAAATTGTTCTAGAAAAAGTTTATTAAACGTGGCAAGGAGAAGAGATTTCCATTCTCTGAGTGGTGGAGCTGGGACCCTGCCAATACCATTTACGGTGTCTGGGGAAAGCCAGGGGGGGACACAGACAGGACCTGCTTCATCTCTTTTCCAAAGAGCAAAGAAAACTAAATATAGCCAAGTGGAAATGATAGCACCTTTGAAGGTATGGGAGGTTTAAGTTATTCAGATCTTCCCAGCTGATTCTAGCCTACACATTCCCTTTCATCATCAATCTGGAAAATACGCTTCCCGTTCTACTTGGAAAACTTTCTTTGCAACAGACTCTCCTAGGACTGTACCCTGACCTGCTTGATCGATGTCTAGAATCCTGTGGCTTTTTGCCATATGTTGCAATTTATTTTAGGTTGCAATATGCAATTTATCGCATGCAGTTAGTGCCACCTACATGCAGGGTAAAGCAAGAAACAGTCTTCAACTCCCTTTATGTTATTCAGGACAAGCCTTGGGGTGGGCTGAGTGCGTGGGAGCTGTGTGGATACTGAGCCAGGCTTCGGTATCCCTAGATCGACGACTGAGATGGCTAATGTATCATGCCGTTCTAGCCCGCTAACTCACGTAAGTTCATGCTTTTATTGGATCACGGAGAGAAGGGGAAGGAGATTGCGAGATGGAACTCTAGTGCGGTGGGAAAAGGATGGCATATAGTTCCTTGTCCAGGGGAGTGAGGGGCAGCTGGACCCCAGGCAACGGGGCACAAGTAAGGGGCGGGCCTACTTAGGGCCCAAGAATGCACGGAGCTGGCTCACCATACCTGCCTGAATGGGATGTGGCTTCTGGTACCTGCTTTGCCTCTAATTGCTATGTGTGGCCTTGAACACATCAACTCACCTTTCTGGTCTCAGTTTCCCAAAGTGTAAACACGTTGGAAGTTAGCATTTATGGGGAGCCTACTTGTGGGAAGCCTTCCGCATATATTATCTCATTTAGTTTCCTCCACAGCCCCCTTCTCTCATGCCACCCATCCAACCTGTCCACCAATCCCGAGGGCTCTACCTTCAGAAAACACCCGGATCTGGTAGCTGTCACCACCTCCCTCACCTTCACCACCATCTCTCACGGGACTGTTGCAACAGCGTCCTAACTAGTCTCTAAGCTTCAATTCCACATCGCCTATAGTCTGTTCTCAGCACAGTAGCGGAGTGATCTTTCAGAACCCAAGTTAGACCAGGGCACACTTCTGCTCAACACCGTCTTACGGCTCTGCAGCTCACTCGGAATCACGGCCAAAATCTTTACGAGGGCCTCCAGGTCTTTACCTGGTCTACACCCACTAGCCTCCCCTGGATGCCTTTGCTCCTGACCCTGGTCTCCTTACTGCTCACTGAACACATCACATGAGCTCTGGCCTCAGGGCCTTTGCACTTACTTTATTTTTTTTCTGGCTGGAAAGCTCACTCCTTCCCTTCTGTCAGATATTCACTTGTTTGATTGTTTATTGTGGAGCCCCCATCTTCCCCCCAGGAGACCATCAAGAAGCAACTCATTGCTGTGTCACCAGCACAAAATAATACCTGGACTTGTAGGCCTTAAATATAAAGGTGTGTGTGTGTGTAGCAGGGGTGAATCAACAACCCAATGATGTGGGTAGTATTGTTCCCACGTGCAGATGAGCTCAGATTACTTAAGTAATTTGCCTAGGGACACACAACTAGTAGGTGACACAGTCACAGCTAAAATCCAGATTTGTCTAATTCCAAGGTTCAGGCCCTCTAAATCCACTGAGTCTGTCTGTCCTAAACAGCTGTGATGACTGTTTTTTCTCCCGAGTCCTTTATACTGACTACGCGTTTCTGTAAGAATTACCTTTCTTCCAAGTGCTACATCTTCCAGTTTCCAAAACAAATACCATGGTGGTTTCTTAATTGTTGGGCCATCTGAAAAAAGTGTAAAATCCAGAAAGGCAGGCCAGGCCATGGAGAAAGGGGAGCCTTGTTATGCTGATGGGCGGGATGTAAATTGCCAACAGCCACTCTGGAGAAATGTATGGTGTTTCCTGAAACATCTAAAAAACAAAGCTACGTAGCCTAGGGCACTTCCACTTATGGTCCTGTAGCTTAGGAAAATTAAAATAAAAAAGACACAGCCACCCCAAAGTTTGGGGCTGCTCTGTTCGCAAGAACCTCGGCTAGTCTACTGAATCGAGGCGGATTTGCTTCCTTCAAGATTGAGTAGGTTTCTTGAAATTAGGATTTTTTTAGGAATCATTTCTCGTTTTTCTGGGAACATCCTTCTGAAGCCTCCCAAAGGTACTTCCTGAGGCTTGGGACAGACACCGAATCCAGGAAGCTTGAAAACAAGTGAGACGTGTGGTTTGGCCACACCCCAGGCGGGAGCATACTTTTACCTGCCTCTGCGTTTTAAAAATTATTATTCATCACGCTTCCCTGGTGGCTCAGTGGTTGAGAGTCCGCCTGCCGACGCAGGGGACACGGGTTCGTGCGCCGGTCCGGGAAGATCCCACATGCCGCGGAGCGGCTGGGCCCGTGAGCCATGGCCGCTGAGCCTGCGCGTCCGGAGCCTGTGCTCCGCGACGGAAGAGGCCACAACAGTGAGAGGCCCGCGTACCGCAAGAAACAAAAACAAAAACAAAACCAAAAATTATTATTCATATACCTTTTTTTCCATTTCTTTTCCTGACTCACCTGTCACGGAGATGAAAGTGGGGGCCTTTCTAGGAAAAGTGGGTCCTGCCCTGTGGTTCATGCTCCTGAGCTCCGGGCCAGGGCTTTAAATTTGACAGGAAGCTATTAGGGAACATCAACAGAGAGCCAGACAAGGAAGCAGGTGACACATCCTGGAGAGAACAGCCCGCCTCGTTAACTTACAGGACAAGGGCTCCAGTGTCACATCAAACGTCTCGTTCTTGAATTCTGCCTTGGCGACCCCGGTGTAGAAGGTGATGTTGCCTGAGAGATAGGCTGTGATGGTGTAGTGGGCGGGGCCATTGTTACGGAAGGTGATGGTGACCTTGAAGTCTCTTCCCAGCACGGCATTCTCCACTTCAAAATTCATGTGGACATCAGACCTCGATTTGACGATGCCCTCTGTGTTGAGGGGCTTTTTAGTCCCATACATCAGGGCAGTTTCTAGGGCCAACCTCTCTTCTTCTTGACCTAGGAAAGGTGCAGAGATAAGGACAGTGCAAGCCACCCGAGAGAATGTCACCTTAATGAACAGTGTGCTGTGGGCACTGCTTGCTGGGCTCGCCGGGCTGCCTCTGTAAGCCACAGGCTTCCTTCTGGGGCAGGTGTCATCATCATCCCATGTTATACATTCTGCAAAATCATGTTCCCAGAGAGTTAGGACCTGCCCGGCTGCAGGGTTCGGCCTATCTGAACAGGGGTTACTACAGAGCATACTCCAAGGGTTGTTTTTCCAGGGTCACTGTTTCAGGGCTCAGCAGATAGAACTGGCAAAACCTAACTCTTCTCAAACTGTGGGATTACTTGGCTTCCCTCCCAATGTCCTAGCCACGTAGCCGGAAGTGTTACATCTTGCCTTTCACCTTCTACAATGTGAGTTTTCTCCCATTCATGGGTCTGCCCCGCAAGACCTGTCTTCCTCATGTCTCTTTCCACTCGGACCTGTCCCACTTGGTTTGTGAAAGCTAGTCATGCAAATGGCTAGCAAAAGAAGAATCACTTTGAAATAAAAATGCTGGTTTTTGTAGTTACATTAACTTTTAAGATGTTGCCTCTCACTAACTAATAACAAACTGCAGCGAAAATGAAGAGATCAGTTCATAGTGCTAAACAAGCATCACTGAGAGCTAACTATGTGATGGGTGTCATGGGAAGCGCATATTGTGCTCTGTCTCATCTAATCCTCGGAAGGACTCTGCAAGGCAGGGACCATTACTACCATCGGTTTCCTTGTGTGTAAAATAAGGACGCATACGTGGCAGGGTTGGTAAGTGGTTTACAGGTAGGACGTGCATAAGAATTGGCAGCTACTAGGACTTTGCAAAGACAGAGAAAATGCCAGCAGGTGTTGCGAACAAATGAATGTGTATTTCTGCGTGTGTATTAACAATTTCTCTGATTGTCAAGACTGCAAGAATGTGCCAGAAACAACTGGTCCAGGACAAGCATTGGCTAGAGCACATGTTTCACAGTCGACAAGAGGGAGATAATACTAAAGGGAAGGAGTGGCTGTGATAGGGAAAGCACAGTGAAGTATTTTAGCCGAAAGCATCTGGCAAATAGCTCCCCAAGGAAGAGAGCATTAATGATCATGGCTTTGGACGGGGACCAAGCATGCATTTAGGCAAAACGTGGGAGGTGAATGCGCCAGCAGTGGGAACATGGTCATGGTCAGAGAGGTGCCTCGTGGGGAGAGGATGAGCTGGCCGAGTGGGGGAGGGGCGGTGGAAGCTTCTGGACTCTAGGAGGGACTTCACAGCGGGTCGTAGATGGAGGAACCTCTAGCTTCCTTTTGGGGACCAGCCTGTCCCTCTGAGCAGGAGCTGCCAGCGAGGCAGGCGAGGGTTTCCAGGAAGCGAAGAGGCAGAATTCCCAGCTCGCTGGAATCCCCGCTCTCTGCAGTTGTGGTCTGAGCTCTGGTGTCTCACATAACGCAGGGCCATGAATTTGGGGCCGAGAGAATAATCTAAAGCCAGATCACATTTTCTGAGGCTCCTCTGTGGCTCCAGGACCAAGGTCAAAACCACCCTTCCATTAACGGGGTGTCATGAGAGTCCCCTTTATGTCTGATGAAGCCTATTCTCATTGCTCAGGTCTTAGCTCAAATGTCACCTTCTCAGAGTGTCCCCCCACTTCCGTTACTCTGGTCCTCTCATCGCTCACTATCACTTTACCTGGTTTTCTTGCCTTTTCCCAGTACTCGTCGCTGTGTGACATTACTTCCCCCAGGAGAAATTAAGCTCTGTGTCCCCAGGACCTGGGACCCAGCCTGACACAGAGGCTCTGGAGGGCTGGGGTTTGGAGAAGCACTTAGCCTTCATGTAGGGACAAAACTTTCCTCTTTATAATAGATATGAAATAGTCCGGTTTAGGACATCTGCTGTTCAGTTAAGCTCACCTGTGCAAGTGCCACCTGAGCTACCATTCCTTTGAGCATCTCATGCTAGTTGTGCCCCTGTGATGTCCAGGCACCGTGCCAGGCTCAGATGAGAAGCGCAGCCCTTCCCACCCAGGTCTAAGGGCACTAGTGCAGAGGGATTACCACACGCGTATCCGTCACAGATGCTGGGTCAAGCGATTGTGTGTGGTGCAGGGAACAAGGGGCAGAGATTTGACACCACCTGGGGGCAGGGGAGGCTTCTCAGAGGGTTTTTCCTTCCAGAGCGAGAGCGAAGGCATGGAGGCAAGTGGGAGCCTGGCTTGGCGGAGGAACTGTCACAGCTCACCTGGCTGCTGATTTTGATGCCTGTGGGTATGGCTAGGAAGGGCTGCGAGGGGGCAAAAAGGCAAGCAGCAGAGGCTTGGCGAGCTCCGGCTGGAATACCCTGCAGGCAGCGGAAGCGAGTGAGGGCTTTTAAGCAGTGCAGCAACAGGCTGAGATTAATGTCATTAAATATGTCACTTTGGAGGCAATGACTTAAACAGATGGAAAGAGGGTGAGGAGGGAAGGTGGAATTGGGAAGCTATAGCAGTTATCCGGGAGAAAAATAATCAGAGTCCAAGCTAATAGTAGGAGCATGGTAGTAATAATAGAATTACCAGCAGTAGTGGAAACTAACTTTTGTTGGCCATTTACTACATATCAGGGACTATGTTAAGGGGCTTCCACGCCCCGCACCATTTAATTCTCAGGGAGGGGCCATGGAGATGGAGGGGAGGAAATAACTTTGGACCATTCCGAAGGGGACTTTCAGAGGATTTGCTGCTTGACTTATTCTCAACGTGCTAAGTTTGGGCGGACCATGGTTTTCTTTCCTGGGGCAGGGAGCACGGGAAAAATAGATCTGGGGTGGGGAGGGAGTGATAGAAGGTGGCATTTGGGAAGGTTCAGTTTCAGGTTCCTGTGAGACATTTAGGTGAATGTGGGGCTTAAAAGTGAAGTCTAGGCTGGAGACAGACTTGGGACAATCAGTATGCGTGTGCATGTGAACACCAGCTACTGGGGAGGAACAAAGCCTAGAAGGAAGAAACATTCTGAGGGGGGCAAAGAAAGGGGAGCTCTGCATTGCAGAAGAAGATGGAAAAACGAGTCAGGTAGGTTGGGATGGAACCAGGAGAAAGCTGTATCATAGGAACAAAGAGAAGAGAGAACGTCAAAGCAACCTAAGTGTCCAATTAACAGATGAATGGAAAAGGAAGATGTGGTATGTATACACGATGGAATATTACGCAGCCATAAAAAAGAACGAAAACGTTGCCATTTGCAGCACCGTGGATGGATTTGGAGGACATTATGCTAAGGCAAATACGTCAGACAGAGAAAGACAAATACTGTCTGATATCACTCATATGCGGCATCTATAAAACTAGTGAATAGAACAAAAAAGCAGTAGACTCACAGATACAGAGAGCAAACTAGTGCCTACCATTGGGAAGGAGTGGGAGGGACAATAGCAGGGTAGGGGATTAAGAGGCACAAACTCTTAGGTATAAAATAAACTATAAGGATATATTGTACAACACGGGGAATATAGCCAATATTTTATAGTAACTATCAATGGAGTATAACCTTGAAAAATTATGAATCACTATATTGTACACCTGTAACTTATATAATATTGTGCAGCAGCTATACTTGAATAAAAAAATCAATTAAAAAAATTTAAAAAACAATTTTAATTAAAAAAAGAAGAGAGAATTTCAAGAATTGTGAGTGAGTAATAGCATCAAGAAATGCAGGAGGTTTTAGGCAAGTTGAAATCTGCAAAATGTTTATTCTACATGGCGATCAGATGTCTTGGCAACCTTGAGGAGAAGGGCTTCAAGGGTGAGCAGGTGGCAGAACTCAGGGCACAGTGGATGAGGCATAAAAGGAAAAGGAGAAGGATGTTGGGTGCGGGCCGCTGTGCAGGCAAAGAGAAGAAAGGATGGACCATGTCTGCAGGGGACTTTATTGTTGAAAAAGAGTTTTGTAAATCTTCTTAACACAGGTGACATGGTCATGGGAAGGAGCTAATAGAGAAGGAGAGATGAAAATACAAGTGACAGAAGGTATAACTGATGGAGCGAAGAGGAAACGGGACCCAGACACCATCACAGAAAAAGACATCACCTCAGGAGAAGTTCTAAGAATTCTAGTTTTCCAAATTTTATAGTTTCTTCATCTTATATTTTAAAGAAGGGTATAAACTTGACATTAAGCATTAGTTCATCGAAGTGAAAAATGATCTTTCCACAGTCTAGTTAATTAAAATAGTAAGTGCCTAAATCTGGTAATATTTTTTTCTATGTTTTCACTCCCACCACAGGTTAGTGGCCACACTCAGCATTTGTAGAGAAATTATGTAAGAGATTCGATAATGAGGACCAGGGTGGTAAATGCACGGGCCCAGATGCTGGCAGTCTCTCCTAGATGCCCCTGGGGTACATGGATAACCACTCACCCTTTCCCACCGCATATATGGGAGCGGGGTCAGCTTCCTTCTTAAACGGCACTCACTCCATCATTCCCAATGTTAGAATATGAAACCCACATGCCATCCTTGATTAAGAAGCTAACGATCCACCTGGAATCAGAGGCCAGCCCAGGAGCAGGATGGGATGCCTCTTAAACTATCTATGCGGATTTTAGGGGCTCTTCTGCTTGGACAAAGCCCCCCACACTTTCCACTCCTCTGAGCCTTGCCTTCTTGCCAGACCTTGAAGGCCTGGACCTCAGCTGTCTTCCCCATTCAGAGCCGGCACATTTTACTTGTTTAAATCTGGGATTCTCCCTTGGCCAAGCTCCTGACTCCTCTTTCATGGACTGACGTCTGACCCTGATTTGGTCTTCACCACCACCTCCGTGGCTGACCACGCAGGGCATCCTGCTGAGCAGTTTAAACAAGATAGCTGGTCACTTGGACGGCTTCCTAGAGGACGGCTCAGCTCTTGTTCTAGACACTGTCTGCTCAGGACTCTTCCACACTGGGAGAGTTTATCCACAATCCCTGTCCTGCTGCCTTTTCCTGGAGAACTCGTTCCCTGGGGAACGAGTCATCCCTGTGTTTCCCTGTTTGTCCTTCAGACTCAGGGAGTCCACAGCTAAGGTCCTCCAGGATCCCTGAGCATCTGTCCAACCACCCCTGTCCTAGGCATCCAACACACAGCTTCCCGCCCGTCTCTCTAGCTAGTATAGATGGGAAGGCAGGGCTGTGTGTGTCTCCATCCCGACAGTGTTTGAAATCTGGCGGGTGGTTAACAGCAAGTAGTTGAAAGGATGAATGAATAAATGTGTGGATGTTACAGCCGGTTCCTTTCATTCCTATCTGGAATCCTTTTTCCTTTCCAAATCTTTTTGCCTGTCACTCTATCACAAGAGGGCCTGGCTCGTTTGTTTTGTTTTATTGTGCTTTTTTTAAAAAAAAATAAATTTATTTATTTTATTTTTGTCTGATTTGGGTCCTTGCTGCGGTGCGCAGGCTTCTCATTGTGGTGGCTTCTCCCGTTGCGAAGCACAGGCTCTAGGCGTGCGGGCTTCAGTAGTTGTGGCACACAGGCTCTAGAGCACAGGCTCAGTAGCTGTGGCGCACGGGCCCAGTTGCTCCACGGCATGTGGGATCCTCCCGGACCAGGGCTCGAACCCGTGTCCCCTGCATTGGCAGGTGGCTTCTTAACCACTGCACCACCAGGGAAGCCCTCGCTTATGTTTTTAAAAACTCTCTTTTTAGAAGAAAGCCCAAAAGAAAAAAAAAAAAATGTTTTGTATCGAGGTTGTGCAGTGGATGAAAACCAACAGAAGAGAAGCGCTGTCTATTTCAGGAACACAGCAAACATTCATGGGTTCAGATGGCACAAATCCTGAATTTCTCAATTCAGCAAACTTTCTACAGTGCAAATTGCTTTTGTAAATAAGAGCAGGGAGACAGAGGATCTAAAATATTTCAAACAAATTCTGCACTCAGCATTTCAGGAATACTGATGAATATTTAGGTATATGCAAATGACTTCATTTTTATCCGTTTACTAAAATGGCATTTGCCATTCCTAAGAAGCTCTGTTGGTGAATCACTTGTAACATATATTCCACGTCCCCATGAAGACACCCAAGGTCCTCCACCTCCTGTCTACTACTGACCTTGGGGAGATTTGACTCCAGCCTCTGGGCACTTAACGAGCTTAATGCTTTAGTAATGTGTTTAGTAATGTGTTTAGTAACTAAACACACCAGCTGATTCACACCTCATGACCTTGTCATATTCTCATCTCCTGGAAACCCTGGTCCAGCTTCCTTAACTGTGGTCTGGGACTTCTCTTATCGGGCTTTGTTTTCCTGAATCTCCTGGTTGGACTGACTGCCCCTCTTCTTTGTTTTCAAAGCTCTCAGCAGAATGAACCTATCACTTGCCCAGAAACTGGGTCCTGCTCACCGTGGGGATCCCAGCACCAAACACAACTCCAGGCATAGAGCAGGCACTCAGTACGATGGAGACGGGACTGAACTCAACAGCTCCATTTCAAACATTCCACACACGAAGAGTTAACAAAAACCACCTTAACATTATTTTATGATTGAAACGGGCCTCCATTCTAATTGGCCTGAATTAGTGAGACTGCAGTGTCCTATTAATGTTGTATCATCTGTCTCAGGGGATTTCCACGATATGTCAAGGGAACAATGCATGTGAAAATAGTTTTCAAGGTACTAAATAAATGTGAACAGGTATTTAAATTTCGTTATTGATCTAAAAGTACATTAGTTATGTAACGTTTTCTAATAGGATTATTTGAAATTAAGATTCTTTCATATTTTTATGAACAAGAACACATTCTATATTCTGTTAAAATAGACGTGACTTTAAAGCATCTATTTCAAAAGGCATGTGAAGCAGAATTCCGCTCAAAGCAAACAAACAAGTAAAACTACAATGACACGAGAAATTGTCGGTGTGATGGGCATTCTCTCCAGTTCTCTCCTAACTTCCAAATGCTGCAAATGGCCATGCCTTTTCCGGAACACACGTCTTCGTGGTGACAGTGACTGTAACTACGAGAGTGCTAAGCAGACTTGGGCAGAGCAGTCTTCATTCGACTGCAGTAACTTACCTTCCTGGAATTTGTAGGTGTCAGTAATGTCCTTGATGCCATCTCCTCCAACTTGCTTGGTCACGATTAATTTCCCAACGTGGGTGGTATCAAGGGTTTCAACCACATGAGTGCCATCTTTCTTAGCTGTAATGTAAACAAGATCACTGTTGACCTAAAAACAGGAGAGGAGACCATTAGCCAGCATCCAACGTTCCTGTCACCAAAATCTCTAACTCTCAATAGTGTAGCCATGTAGGGTCCCTGGAGACAGCATTATTCATTGCGCTAAGTCATTTAAGTGCCAACCGTTTCTTTCTTTCCTTTCTCTTGCTGGCAAATCCTACCTCCTAAGGCAAAGCAGAAAGTACCCTGTCTGTTACTCTCCTCAGACTTCTTTAGGCTGACAGCGATGGCGCGACCTACTTCCAGGAAGAAGAGAAAGTCTGCCGGGTGGCTCCTGGGAGATTTTTCTCCAGGTAGATGCATAGGTCCAAATCCATCAAGATGTATACATTAAATGTATGCATTTTAAATATCAATTTTACCCCACTAAAGCTTAAAATAATTAAAGCAAGTAAATGGAGAGAAGAAAGGCTGTGATAGGCAGAGGGACTGGCCGCTTCAAAGGTTCTGAGGAAGGTATTTAAGAGACGCGCTGGATGAGCCGCAGGGAACACGGGCTCTGATCTTGGGTGTGTACTCTTAGAAAGTTACCTTGTCCTCTCTGAACCTCCGTTCCTGCTTCTATAAAATGAAAATAATTACACTTTTTCTGCCAGTTTCATAGGAACACCTTGGGACTGAGCGAGATAGAAGCTATGTGAGCATGATTCTCACAGAGGTTTGTAAACATCAAAATTGAGTAAAAATGTAATGATCATTACTAGGTAATGGGAAAACTTGATGATAGATCCCTAGCTTTTTTTTTTTTTTTTTTGCAGTACTAGGGCCTCTCACTGTTGTGGCCTCTCCCGTCGCGGAGCACAGGGTCCGGACGCGCAGGCTCAGCGGCCATAGCTCACGGGCCCAGCCGCTCCGCGACCCGTGGGATCCTCCCGGACCGGGGCACGAACCCGTGTCCCCCGCATCGGCAGGCGGACTCCCAACCGCTGCGCCACCACGGAAGCCCCAGATCCCTCGCTTTTAAAGATGAGGTTTAAGAGAGCAATTTTTGGGCTTCGCTGGTGGCGCAGTGGTTGAGAGTCCGCCTGCCGATGCGCGGGACGCGGGTTCGTGCCCCGGTCCGGGAAGATCCCACATGCCGCGGAGCGGCTGGGCCCGTGAGCCATGGCCGCTGAGCAGGGTTTCAACCACATGAGTGCCATCTTTCTTAGCTGTAATGTAAACAAGATCACTGTTGACCTAAAAACAGGAGAGGAGACCATTAGCCAGCATCCAACGTTCCTGTCACCAAAATCTCTAACTCTCAATAGTGTAGCCATGTAGGGTCCCTGGAGACAGCATTATTCATTGCGCTAAGTCATTTAAGTGCCAACCGTTTCTTTCTTTCCTTTCTCTTGCTGGCAAATCCTACCTCCTAAGGCAAAGCAGAAAGTACCCTGTCTGTTACTCTCCTCAGACTTCTTTAGGCTGACAGCGATGGCGCGACCTACTTCCAGGAAGAAGAGAAAGTCTGCCGGGTGGCTCCTGGGAGATTTTTCTCCAGGTAGATGCATAGGTCCAAATCCATCAAGATGTATACATTAAATGTATGCATTTTAAATATCAATTTTACCCCACTAAAGCTTAAAATAATTAAAGCAAGTAAATGGAGAGAAGAAAGGCTGTGATAGGCAGAGGGACTGGCCGCTTCAAAGGTTCTGAGGAAGGTATTTAAGAGACGCGCTGGATGAGCCGCAGGGAACACGGGCTCTGATCTTGGGTGTGTACTCTTAGAAAGTTACCTTGTCCTCTCTGAACCTCCGTTCCTGCTTCTATAAAATGAAAATAATTACACTTTTTCTGCCAGTTTCATAGGAACACCTTGGGACTGAGCGAGATAGAAGCTATGTGAGCATGATTCTCACAGAGGTTTGTAAACATCAAAATTGAGTAAAAATGTAATGATCATTACTAGGTAATGGGAAAACTTGATGATAGATCCCTAGCTTTTTTTTTTTTTTTTTGCAGTACTAGGGCCTCTCACTGTTGTGGCCTCTCCCGTCGCGGAGCACAGGGTCCGGACGCGCAGGCTCAGCGGCCATAGCTCACGGGCCCAGCCGCTCCGCGACCCGTGGGATCCTCCCGGACCGGGGCACGAACCCGTGTCCCCCGCATCGGCAGGCGGACTCCCAACCGCTGCGCCACCACGGAAGCCCCAGATCCCTCGCTTTTAAAGATGAGGTTTAAGAGAGCAATTTTTGGGCTTCGCTGGTGGCGCAGTGGTTGAGAGTCCGCCTGCCGATGCGCGGGACGCGGGTTCGTGCCCCGGTCCGGGAGGATCCCACGTGCCGCGGAGCGGCTGGGCCCGTGAGCCGTGGCCGCTGAGCCTGCGCGTCCGGAGCCTGTGCTCCGCGGCGCGAGAGGCCACAGCAGTGAGGCCCGCGTACCGCAAAAAAAAAAAAAGAGAGCAACTTTTCTCTGCCTTCTCACAAAATGTTCTGAATTTACGTGAAGTCTGATCTCCGTTAAGGAGAACGGAAGTAAGTCCATATTTATTGAGCCATAACGTTTCAGGGACATTTCTGAATGATTTAATTTGAACCCCACAGCGACAATCCTGTGAGGTAGGTGTTATTATCCCTGTTTCAGAGGCGATGAGGCGCCAAGAGTCAGAGAGTCAGCAGAGTGTTTGTGGTCACATGGCTGGGAGGCGGTGGAGACGTACAAAGGTGGGCAGGGGCGTGTGCCCATCGCACGTGCCCTGACCTTCACCCTGGGTGCCCATCGCACGTGCCCTGACCCTTCACCCTGGGTGGTCATAGCACGTGCCCTGACCTTCACCCTGTGAAAGGCTGAGATGCGAAACCAGGAATCAGGACCAGAGAGGACACAGCAGACACCTAAAGCATATTTCTCATTTTGTTAAAAAAATGTTCAAGGAAACTTTAAATGAGCTTCCTGAGAATTTCAGCCGTCCCTCTGGAGGAGACCATGCAGGCACGGACAGCTCCCTCCTCACTTGCAAATTAGAGCCACAATGATGATAAATATCCTCTTAATAAACAACTCTTAAAGCAGCTTTCAGTTTTCCAGGGAGACAAGGCTAAATGTGAAAGTGGATAAATCCTTGTCTCCCCTTGAGCATAGCTTAGGAAATTTATGTAGGCTAAAAATCTCAGGCCAGCCCACTACACTGTCCCTTGTGAGGAAAGGAAAGGAGAAACACACACATAAAATGGCTTTTGCATATGTATGTGGGGCGTGAGGGTTTAGGGAAAGGATCCTTTCCAAGTGACATCTGCAAGCTTTCTTTTTGGTTGCAGCCGCTAGTGTGGCGGTTCTCCATCCTGACTGCACGTTAGAATCACCGAGGGGCTTAGAAAGTGTATGCCAGACCAGCTGAATCTCTATGGTAGAACAGTCATAAGGGGAAGAAATATTGGACCTAGGCTCTGTGACTTTGGGCAAGTTACTGAATATCTCTGAGCCTGGGTTTAATGATACCTCCCTTGCAAGGCTGGCAAGTAGATAAGCAACACCTGTGAAAGTCCTGTGTTTAATTTCTTTTGAGTGGAAAGGAGTCTTTGAGACCATCTAGTCTTACCCATACATTTGAAAGGGCTCTGGTCACGCAGAACCTGGGCAACCCAACGTGAAATATGGCTATTCTCAGCCCCACCACCCCTTGCTTCTTGGTCAGACACGGGCACTTCCAAAGTGGGGTGGACAGTAGGGGGAGAGCTTTCCTACCAGGAGGAACAGTATGAGTAAAGACTCTGATGTGAGAGCATGTTTGGATGTTTCAGGGCCCCTGGGGCTCAGCAAAGGTGGGCTGGGTCCTCAGGCTAGAGAGGGGCCTCTCTGCAAACTTCTTGTTGCCCAAGGAATGTAAACGTGTGTCCACTGCTGGCAGAAGCTACACTTCTCACCTCTCAGGATGGAAGCTCTGGTTTCCAGGACCCAGGACAGTGTTTGCTCTCTTCATTTGTTCCCGAGTGGAAGTAACTGCCCTGCAGGCTGTGCTGAGAAGGGGGTGCTCCTTTCAGGGCTTCTAAAGGAAGGCAGTGGATGCCCACCTGGCCCTGGAGCCTTCATGGCACAACTGCCAGACGTCCACCCCGTGCTTACCACTCCTTCAGCCTGCGGGGGCTGGCTACGCGGCCACACTCCTGTGTGCGCCCCCTGCTGCTGCATACGTGGGCCTCATCTCCCACCAGGACTGCCGGCACTTGAGGGTGCCATGTGACCCCTGTCTCTCTGGGATACTGCTCTCAGCAGTGTACTATGCACACGCTTTTGCTTGCTCTATTCATTCATGTATTTAGTGGTGGCTGCCACGTGCCAGACCCTGCTTTCAGCGATGAGAAGCCAACAGAGCCTACCTGCGTGGAACTTACATTCTAGCAAGGAGAGAAATAATAACACCGAGTCAGAGTAGAAGGACAGAAACAACAGGGCAGGTGGTGATGTTTCAGGTGGGAGGTGGTGTGAGTGAAGGTCTCTTCGAGGAGGTGAGCTGAACAGAGATCTGGATGCAGGGAGGGAACAGGACATGCTAAGTGGGGTGGAGGGTAGGGGAGGAGCTGTCATAGCCAAAGGAACAGTATGTGTAAAGACTCTGACAAAAGAGCAAGAGGGTCAGTATGGCTGGAAGGAAATGAGCAAGGGATGGGGGTGGAGGGGAAGCCAGGGTCCATATCGCACAGAACCTTGTAATGATTTATGCCTCAGTGTATTGTAAAAGTGATGGGAATCCGTTAGAAGGTTTGGGGCAGGGGAGTGACATGTTTCTGTTTACATTATGAAGGATACTCCTGGCTGGTTTGTGGAGAATAAACAGGAAAGGGGCAAGTGAGGAGGAAGCAGATGATTTAGGGGCAGACGTCCCAGATCTCAGTGCTGTTCAGAGCTCAGAGGGTAATGATGGCGATCACTGGCATGGTTGGATCTCTGATCTTATGGGAAGGTATTATATTTCCGGCAAGATGCCTGAGGAAGGTTAAGAAGAGAAGCCAAGATGATTTCAAAGTTTCATAGGTTATTTGAATGAATGGGTGAATTATTCTAGATCAGACTAGGGGATGCCAAAAAATGGGCTGCATCTCATAAGTGGTAGCAAAATAAACAAGCTTGAACTGAGAACGAAGAATCTGCAGAGGGGCAGTTGCACAGTTAGCGTACAGGGAACTGCTGGCCCAGAGCAAGGGAACGTGTGGCTTCTGGAGCGACGCGGTGGTGACTGCGGCCCCGAGGAGCCTGTCACTGCTGCCGTGAAAATCAGCTCGGGGCCAGGGGGGGAAAACGGGGGCGGGGCCTGTCACTCCTGCCGTGAAAATCAGCTCGGGGCCACGGTGGGAAAACGGGTGCGTGCGTGCGTGCATGTGTGTGTGTGTGTGTGTGTGTGTGTGTGTGTGTGTGTGTGTGGAGTTTGAGTGGGATGGCGTGAGGGGGTCAACAGACACAGCTAGAAGAAACTAAGACAGAAGAGAAGCAGCAGCTCCTGAATGCTTAGTGAACGTGGGAATTGGGAAAGTAGCCCCGACACTGAGAACCGTTCTGCTCTCTTTAGGAGCCCCAGGTCCCCAGGAGTCGGGGAGGACGGGCCGAAGAGCCTCCAGAACCAAGAAACTCACCGCAGGGCTGAGGGCATGAGAAGGGAGGTGGGTAGAGAAGTAAGCTTCAATCCCTGGAAGAAATCTAGAAATGGGAAGGGTAGATTTCCAAAACGGAGACGGGGAGAGGTAGGATGCTTTTCGTGCATACCTCTCTTATTTGGGGTTGTGCTTTCACTAAAAAAGCCCTGAGAAAACCAAAGGAAGACAATGAACCTGATGCTTGATCTGGCCCAGAAATGAGTAAGGAGTGACCAAGAAAGTCCGTCTGCGGAGAGGCAAGAAAAGGCACGTTCCGGCTGACGTGGCTGGGGTCAGGGAGAGGCAAGCTTAGGCAGCAAGGAGGCGAGAAAGGGAGGGAAGATGCTGTCTAGAACCTGAGTCACATAGACTCTCATTAAAGTGAAATCCGACGCGCCCCGTGGAGTCCTACTTTAGGACCCTTGAGAAAAGAGTCCTCACGCACTTTTCAGCAGTTGGAGCATCTCTTATAAATGGCTCAGCCCTGAAGCTCAGCCCGTGCCAAGGCAGCAATCCTACACGCTGTCAGACAAGTCTGCAGTGGGTGAGAGAGGAGTAATTATAACCTGAGAGTCCCGATGACATTCACAACACCCCGATCTATATTTAATAACAGCAGAAAGCGTCCGCATTAACAGCTCTTAGGCAACTCGCTCTCGGAGGGAGGCTGTTCCTCTCCCCTTCGCAGCAACAAAGCACAATGAAAATACAAAAACAAGGCTTGGCGAGTTTTAGAGTGATTTCCCATTAAGAAGTGCTCGTAGCATCAGAAATGATCAGACGGCAGCTGGGGAGGATTGGATAAACCTTTAACTCTCAAAATGAAGTCGAGAGGGTGAAATTCCAAATACGGTCTTGCCTGTTCTCCCAAGGCTTCTAGAAACTGTAATGGTAGGAACAGTAGAAGAGACACTGTTCCTTTTGTGTAATTCACATTTCCGCTTTCTCTTATTTCCGAAACATTTCCCAGGCCTGCCCCCTCCTGCCCCCTCCTTCCCCGGCTGTCGCCGTTTGTCTGGTTTGGGCGTGGAGTAACATCCCAGCCTTCCCGTGTCCCCCGCCCCAGGCCTTCCCTTCAAGGCTGTGCTGCGCAGGTCCCTGTCCCTTCCCGGTGGGAAGCCATTTCTCAGGACAGAAGGTCCCATGTCTAGTTCCCTCAGCTGTCATCATTTGACGCCTCCCAACACATCACTTTTCATGAGCCTGTATAGTTTTTAATTGTCTGCACATACCATTGGGAGGCTCAAGTTTTCTCCTCTGTGTAAAATTCTTTCCTTCCTCTGGCTTCTTTCTTATCCCCTTTGCCTGAATAATTACTAATCATCCCTCCAGACTTGCTTCAGGCTCTACTCCCTCCAGGGAGCATCCCTGGTCCTCCTTCCATGGGCTCCTGTAATACTCCACTTGTCGTACTGTGGCTATCATGTAGCTGTCCTTGTGTCCGTTCCCAGATCACTCTCCCTAGACAGGGTCTTGTGGCCTTTGTTGTCCTGCCTCAGTTCCTAGCTCATATTTCTCAATTAACTTAAACGTAAAAGTCATTTATCACCTACATCGCTGTCTGACATTTAGTTCCACAGCATCCCTTGCGTTATTGGTATTTAAACGTGGCTGTGTTTACGTACCACCATCTCCATCAAGAATCAAGTTACTTAAGGACATAGGCTTCTGAATTCCCACAGTGCCTGGCACATAGTGGTAATAGACATTTACTCATTCTAGAATAGTAGCAGAAAGTGGTGTTTACTGGCACGAGCTCAGGTGCCAGCCTGGCTTTAAATCTTAGCACTACTCTTTGTTGGTTAGATGATTGTGGAAAGGTTATTTAACCACTCTTTGCCTCATTTTCCTCTTCTGTAAAATGGGATGAATTGTAACACCCATTTTAAAGGGTTGCTAAGAGCATCCGATGGCAGGCAAAGTGATTACGTAGCAGTAGGCATTATTTCGTTGCGTTCATTCGTCAAATTATACTCTAGGTCAGTCCTGCCTCTCATAAATCTCTGCTCCTCACCCCTACCTTCAGCAGCCTCCTGGCCTTGTCCCTCACCAGATGTCTCTCACATTTAATTTGACTTCCTGAGCTCTCTTTGGAGCACCCTTGAACTGCCCTCTCTGCTTCCGACCTCCATCCAATTCTTGCAGAATTTCAGACCCTTTCCCAAACCGTCCCTATCCACCCTTTAGTGTGCAGTGTTCTAGACCCTTTTCTCCCCTCCGTATTCTAGCAGCTGTACTCTCTGCCTCCACTGTTGGAGGATGGCCTGGAATGGCAGGAAATGGACTGGAGTTCCCAGACTAAGACTGTAGTTGGGGTGTGTTCAGGTGTTGTTCCATGTGAACTGTTGGGCTAGTCTCAGGGTGAAAAAGTACACTCTGCCATTCCAATTCACGGACCGTCTCCACCAATTTTTTGTTGAGTGATTCATTTAGTCACTTAATTTCTTGGGAGCAGTTGATACCTACTTCAGAGGTACACAGAACTAAGCTAAGGTTAGCAAAGCAATTGCTTTCCGGCGGAAAAATCTCAAAACATCAAGGAGAGAAAAATGTTTAAGTAAGGACTGCATTTAGCATGCGGTGCCTGGGGGTTGGGATGATGTCTAGTTAACTTTGTAGACATGAAGCATACACTATGTACCCGGGAAATTTAGAAGTAACAGCCCAGTACCTTATTTTTTGATGTGTTAAGAGGTTGGGAAGGAAAGCAGCCCTTTTCCCCAGCTTTCCACTTACCTCTGCAAAAACGAAGGGTGCGTCAAACTGGAAGCAAACATTGCCGTGCTTAATGGCTTGAACAGAGGCCGGGCCGCACCGATACATCCCTGTATCACACAGAGGAGGGAGAGCATGAGTTTGCCATCTTCAGTTCTGTCCAGATACAGAGCTGATCTGGATCATAGCCCTGAGGTGACTCTGCAGAGACAAATGTTCCTCTATTTCATCCCCGCGGTAGCCCCAGTGCTTTCCATGGCCGGAGCGGGTGAATGGCCCACGTGTGTAATCAAGAGGGAATTGTTGGAAGTGACTCTGCAAACCAAAATTTGAAGCCACGAAAAGAATATAGGGCAACACTATTTCTGCATCTACTCTTCCAACTACAAACAGACTCAAGTGTGTTGGTGCCCAGCCGCTGGCTTACATAGGGCTTATCCTTTCATAACTCGTATCTGGAATGTTGGAAACAGTGATCCGTCCTCAGTATTTGTGTTGTTGTTTGTTTGTTTTCACTTTTGTTTTTTGTGTTTGGACATTATGGACACATGTCAAGTTTAACTGGAGAATCTGGATATTAGCCACACACATGGACCACGTGCACTCAGGAAGTCAGTAGGCCCATGCTGACTTTTACAGAGTCCTTTGAATTTTAACCAGCTGTCTCTTGTTAATTAGTCACCCAGCTATCTCATCATGATATATAACCCGGAACACCAGAAAGTGTTGAAATTTCTCTCTTAAAGTCCAGTATTGTACTGGCGTTCCCTTATGAGTATGTAATGAACGTTTTTGTGTATATATGTATACACACATCAATATCTTATATCAACACCTGGGGAGAGAAAAGTCATGTCCTAGACCACTGATTTTTATCATCATGCTGAAGAGAAATGAGGCCTCATGACGTGTGTGATTTTATAAAAATTCGGTGGGAGAGGGGGGTCATAGCTGCCACTACTTAGCACACACGTTAAGTACCTACATATTCAAGTTTTGAAAGAAATCACACAACCTAAAAAGAAATCAGCGTCTGGAAAAACAACAATTTAAAGGATGATCTGTAATTATTTTTTGAGTTCTTTATTTTCACCACTGCCTTCTATCTTGTCACTGTTTATCAGGCAGGGCTGAAGTCTATTTTATAGCCTAGCAAAAGTGCTTACCCAGACACTTTTTCTCTTGTCTTCAAAACTGCTTATCAAAGCAAGGATCGATGAGGTTATATATGTTAAATTTTATGTTTTTTTCCCCCTAAAAGTTACAAAATAATCAGAGTAAAGACGACCAGTGAAATGAAGTTAAACCTGACTGGCAGGTAGTCAACCCTGTACATGTGCCCAGGAAGCACACTTCTGATGCTGTTCCCACTGGGAGGGAGTGTTTCCCACACATCGAATGCAATCATAAAAGCAAAATAAAGACCGGCAGTTCATCCATTTCCCTGAGGGAGGATGCGGTTTTTACCGTCGCTGTTTTCCTGCGGGGTGCTGTCCACGACTTGCCAACCTCCAAATCCAATGGGAAGATCAGGCCTCGTCATCCAGGCTTCGTTCCAGCAGTGGTAGTTCCTTAAAAAAACACCACCCCAGCGAGATTAAACTTCCCATCACATTCAATGCTCCAGGAAATCAAAAAGTGACCAAAAATCCTGTGACTATGCTATGTATAAATTATTGGAATGCCTTAAGCTAGCTGGAAGCTTCCCAGAGATATACTGGGGCTCTAGACTTAAGTTTTCTGTGCAGGTCCTTTTCCATTGGCACCCCTGGGACGGCACTCATATGGCTGGACGTTGCTCTCTCCCCCACTAATATCAGCTTCAAGGCCACCCAGAGATATTCTAATCAATGCCTTAAACGATTTTGACCTTAACCCTTGTCTACTGCCTAATGAAACAGAATTTACTATGGGCTCAAGGGATATGGCAGGGAAGAAAAGTTAATGAAAACCGAAATACTTATTATCTTTGAATTCCTTTTATATTTATATGTATATTAGATTTATAAAAAGCATACCCCTTTGTAACAATTAAGCAACAGAATGCTTTTGTTTATGGGCTTAGACTATTGCCATAGAAACTGTAATGTTAACTCCTGACTTTAGTTGTCTGTAATTTGTGGCAAATTTCCATCTGGTGTCCAACAAGAAGGAAAGGTTGTCAGGGTGAGTGTCTCTTTACACTTTATCAAAAGTGGGTGACCCATGAGCTGAAGGCCAGGCAAAACTTTTCAGACTTAGCAAGTGACCCTTGAAGCAAGAGCATGGGATAAAAATATCATCATGGGGCTTCCCTGGTGGCGCAGTGGCTGAGAGTCCACCTGCCGATGCAGGGGGCACGGATTCGTGCCCCGGTCTGGGAAGATCCCACATACCGCAGAGCGGCTGGGCCCGTGAGCCATGGCCGCTGAGCCTGCGCGTCCGGAGCCTGGGCGCCACAACAGGAGAGGCCACAACAGTGAGAGGCCTGCAAAAAAAAAAAAAAAAAAAAAAAAAAAAAAAAAAAAATATATATATATATATATATATATATCTCATCATGAATTGTATTATTATGTCCTTGGAAAGACTTGAAATTATATGACATTACAGAAACAAATGGAAGCACATTAACCTGTCTGCATTATAGAAAATATTCATATAGTAATAACAATTTAATGGTGGCATAAGGTAGTTACAGCAGTCTTTGTTTATAGCACTGGTGAATTTCAGATCCAGCCACCATCCACCCACACCTCAGTGTCCTTCAACGTCAGTAATTCGTGCATGTGCCCATCTCTCTCTGAGTTCAGCTCATCTTTGATTGGCTCAGTTCAGAGGTATTCACTTATCTATGGGCCCATCATGCACCAGGCACCATGTTGGACACCCAGTCATGATCAAGTCATAGGTTCTTGCCCATAAAGGGCCCCACGACTGAGGAGGAATGATGAACACAGAAACCAATTGTTAAAACATTTCATAGGTTTGCTGCGAGGCTTAAACAAGCTAATACATGTACAGCACTTAGAACAGGGTCTGGCATGTGATAAGTGCTCAAACATGGTAACTCTCTGACTTTTAAAAGTAATTGATTGAAGTGATGCATGCTACAGGGGAAATTCATTTGGGGTACAATCGGGTCTCAGTGGGGAAGTGCTTGGGGCAGGAGGGAAGGCACCACAGCAGAAGTGATATTTGAGCTGAGTCCCCAAAAATAAATGGGAGTTTAGCAGATTAACAAAAGAACTAAGAACAAAGCTATGGAGACAAGAAATAGCCAACATGGTGTGTTTGGTGACCTGCATGCTGTTGTGGCTGGTGAGTATCATGTCTGCATACTTGTGTGCGCAGGAGAAGAGAATGGGCAGGCGAAAATGGGCAGTACACCGCAAGACTGTCAGATACACATAGCGCTTACTGTATGCCAGGCACTGTTTAAAGTCTTTATGTACGTGAATACATATGATGTTCCCAGTACTCTATGAAAAAGGTATTGTTATTATTATCCCCCACTTACAAGGGAGGAAACGGAAGCACAGAGAGGTTAAGAATCTTGCCTGAGGTTGCACAGTGAGTTAGTGGAGCTTCAGGACCCGTGCTTTTAAACACTGAGCTATGTTGTTGGTGAGGATGAGATCGCGAGATCCTTTTATCCCAAGTTAAATATTTGAGCTTTATGCCTGGGCCCAGTTAAACTTGCAGATCTGTATTTGTGGGAGCTGGGCGAGGACCAGAGACTGAGCTGAGTTTCCCCTCGTCACCGTGGAGGAGGAGGGGAGCTGTCAGAAGGGAACTGTGAGTGTTGAGGGAGCTTTTGAGTTTCCAGGGAGTGTGATGGTTCCATTCACCAAGGCTGAATGTGTTGGGAGCTGGTGTTGGGTGGGTGACATGTTCATCTGGGACATGATGAACTTGAGTGCCCGTGAGAAACTCAAAGGATGATACCCAAGAGGCATTTTTATATACACACTTGACACTCGGAATTTGACGTAGGAAGCCACTGGCGTCTTTATTGCTGATGGAAGAGTGGTGAGTGCAAACGCCAGACGCAGGGGCAACGGGAGGGGAGAAATGCGGAGTGGATTTCTCCGCCAAGGGTGACCTAGGTTGCGAATGCAAGAAGAGACGATAGGGCAGTGGCTAGAAAATAATGCAATGCGGGAAGATTGTTTTGATTATTTTTACGTTAGGAGAGATTGTCATGTCTCCCAGTAGAGTGGGAGTGAGATAAGATAGAATAAAGGGAGAGATGGAGTAAAGAAAGGCTCAGATACCGAGGATGCAGGAGGATGATGTGGAGAACAGCGCCATGGACAAGTGTGGGGAGCGAGGCATTGTCTGCAGGGGACGGGGGTGCAGATGTAGGTCAGGGTCAAGGTGTGAGGTGTCGGGGCAGGATCATGAGGTTGGCTCCCACCTGAGAGCCTCTATCTTTGCTCTGAAGCTGGAAGGAAGGTCACGGTGATCAGGTAATAAGCAATGCTAGCGCCCCTTAAGAACGGTAAACGTTGCACCATCAGGCAGAGAGATCCAGAACGAACAGCAGTGAGACATTTGCAATCCCAAATGGCCACAGTCACGCTTCCTACACAGCCTGCGATGTTTAGCAACCCTGGCTTTCACCAGCACTGCCCTAGGGTAATAGGCCCCAGAACCTCCTTATTTAAATTCAAGTATCCTGGGCCAGGTTAGCCTTGAACAAGATAAATAAGTTTCGCATTTCAGATCTCAGGTAAAGACATTGCTTTGAGGATTTTATTTCTTTTCAAATGACCAGGAGATGGGGAAAGGTTTCTTCTCTCTGTACTCACGGTCTCTTCCACTTTCACCTAAGACTGAGACCTTATTTGTGTGTTTGGGGTGGAAGAGTTTAATAAGAGGGTCAGGTACTTGTAGCGGTGGGTGAAGTGAACAGAACTTATGCTCCGGAGGGGCTGGGCCTTAGTCAACGGGTGGAAGGCCAGTAGCTGGGCTCCCAGATTGCCACGAGCAGAGGAAGAGGTTGCAACCTCTGAAGAAATGGGGCTTTTTCCATCATGCCATTCTCTCTGCTCAGGAATGGCCAGGGAAAATGTGTCCTGGGCCACCCATGCCACGAGGGTCCCCTTTTGGCTGGATGTTCAGTATTTCTGGGTATACACGCCTGCCTTTTACATCTCAAGTTCCCCTATGAAAGGGGTTGACATTTACAGACATTGCTGAATTCCGTTTACCTACTATCCAGGCTGGGAAAATATATGTGCTTCTTGGAAAGTTTTTTTTTTTATTTTAAAGCTTTTTAACCTAGATCTGTATCTAGATAAATGTATCTTGCTGTTTCATCATATGCACTTGCAGAGTGTGTGGATTCATTCTGTGAGCTCCGCCTGCCTGTTCACCATTCCCAGAACTAGAACTGGCCCATAGGAGGTGCTCACAAAGTATTGGTTGCTTGAAAGTTAAGGATATCTCCTAGCAAGGCAGGCAGGCATAATTAAATCTTTGTGTGTTTGTTTTTAAGATTCACGGTTTTGTATTTTCTCAGAGCCTTCATTTGAAGCCCGACTTCCCACCATACCATCAAAATATGCAGTGTCCTTTTAAAGTTAAAAAGATTACCAACCTTCAGTGTGATCTGGTAGCCTTGTTGCCTCTTTCTAAAGAAGCAGGGTAGAAATTAAAATAAAGCCCCCATCTCGTCGAAAGTTATTTAATCAAATTGAAAATAACTTCTTTGGGGAGATGATGGAGGTGACAAGTGAACATCACATCTTTACTTTATGTTACTTCCTGTATGTTTCCTGCAGTGGCAGCTAGTGATTTCTAGAACTCCTTTCAAGGATGTAGTAATTTGGCAGTATCGGAGCAAAAGACGCAGAGAATCTTCACCAAAAGCAGAGCCTCACTAGCAAAGCAGCACCATGCACTGCTGGAGGACCCTGGAAGGGACATGGCAGCATTGGTTTAGTTTACCCTTTGATTTGGTAAACTCCTTTCCTTAGAATTACACACATGCAAAGATAAGAATGTGAAACGTTCATCCTTGCATAATTTTTAAGAAGGAAAATCAGAAACTGTCCAATATGTGATTAACTATTTTAAATCACAAAATAAAATACTATTCAGCCATAAAAATCAGATCTGTATTTATTAGGTAGGAAAAATAACCATGGCATATCAATTTTAAAAATCACGCTACAGAACACCAGGTACAGTGTTCATTGTGTATGTATACATGTGTGGAAGGCAGAATGTTAAACGATCCTCACACTTGTATAAATCCCTCCCTTTGAATGTGGGTGAAGTCTATGAATAGGATGCTCCTGTGATTACAATTTTACATGGCAAAGAGGATTTTGCAGACGTAATTAAGGTAAGTAAGCTGTTGATTTTGAGTTAATTAGAAGGGAGATTATCATGTGGGCCTGACCTAATCACGTGAGCCTTTAAATCTGGGAGGTCTGGGACATAGCAAGCCAGAGGTTTGAAGCAGCAAAGACATTCTCCTGCTGGCCTAGAGGAAGATGGAAGCTTTCATGAGTTCTACAGCTGCAAGAAACGGAATTTTTCCAAGAACCTGAATGAGCTTCGAAGAGAGCCCTGAGCATCA